GTACAGCATAAATTATCTTTCAACATTGAAATCACTACAGGGATGATGATAGCACAGCCCCTTTCTGAAGCTGCAGGAAGGACAGACTGATTCAAGTACGCAGAGAACAGAGCAAGTGACTGATGCATTACCCCACAGGTGCAGGATGTATGAAGGCCTTCCCTGTGGTACTAGGAAACAAGGCTGAAAATAAACATTGGTACAAGAGGATGGTATAAGATTGTGTTCTTCATTCTTTTCCTGCTCAGGCAAAACATTACAGGGCTGTAAAAGAAAAGCAAGTAGCAAAAAGTTAGCCTTTACTGGACAGGGAGAAGGGACAGCACTGACTCTGTTGCTAAATAATTTCCCCTTCTTGCTTTTCCCCAACCCCTAATTACCCAATTCAGTAACTAAGCCAGGGGAACGGATGGAGAACTTAAGGAGCCACTCAGGGCAATCTGCCAGTGCAATTCTCTCTGTTAAACAGGTTCCTAAAGGAGTGAGCTCCTGGAACTGACAATCCAGCTTAAGCTGCGGATATGGCAGTGAGTATTGTCCTCCCAAGAGGGTCAAGGAGAGGTGAACTGAAAGCTGCGCAGGCTCTTCAAGCCCAATGTCAAGTACATTGTTAAAACCAGTGCTTTGAAATTAATATTCTGCCTTCCAGATATTTCACCCTTTGATCTTCTCACAAAGGAAGTGTGGCAGAGGGTCTGGACCTTTGGTGGTTACACCAGCAAATGCTGGCATACACAGAGCTGTATGAGTTAAGCAGGACAAAACATATTTAACACATCAGAAAAGCTGCAAATCCAATAAATGCTCAATTGCTCCAGTCAATACTTCCACCTCAGCTGTGAGGGCAGCAGCCAGAAATGAAGCACTGCAAGGGATCATCCTTTATTATTTAGAGTAACGGGAGCAAAAGACACATTGTGGGAAAGCCACAGACAGGCCTGTAAAAGTAGATTATTGTCCTATGCTTTTAAAGCTAACTGCACTGAGAGAGGAGTTCCCATCAGCATCCTTAATCTTCCTGTCAGTGGGCTGACAGTCTTCCAAGGAAGACGGCACAAGCTATTGGCTTCCTTTTGCCGTTCTCTCTCTCTCATATCTGTTTGAATGATTAATTGCTTTATTTTTCTCTTTGCTTTACTGCACTTTATTTCTGACAAATGTTTTAGTTATTCTGCTGGTTCGTGTACCTGCATGCTGAGGTGTTTCAGTGTCCCACAGCTTCCTGCTGCTGCAAGATGGGCAGCAAGAAGAGTCGGCAGCCTAAGAGAGTTTGCTCAGAGGTTGCAGTTACCCAAATGAATAATTAAAGGCAATACGTGTCTTGCTTTTAAAGCAGGCCAGAACTGCAAAGCCAGAGATAAGACTCCTGTGTGACCTTACTTTCTCTTTGCTTCTGTAATGTCCAAAGCTATCTGGGAATGTGTGTGCCCAGGTTCTCCCTGCTGTTGGGGAGAAGAAATAGAGGATGGAAAAGCGAATTTGTAGAGGTTGATAAGGGAGGAGAGAATAGAAATTTCTGGTTAAACAGAAGGGGGGGAAAAAAAAAGCTGTTAGGAGTGTTAGCCAAGCAACATGTAGTGAACTGAAAGACCGTCCTAGTTCCTCCCAAGGCTCAAGATCCCCACAGAGTTCCCATCAAGCTTGTTGTTCCTCAGGGTTATCAATATTACGTCACTTAGAGCAGAAAAAGCACTCGGACATCAAGGTGACTCATAACAACAAAGTCCAGGGAAAAATCCCTTGGCTGCTTAAGGGTATGAACGCATGGCCTGAGTGACTCAGGCCTGCCTAAGGGCAGAGCCAACACCAGACTGTGCTCACCTTACTGCCAAGGTGTAAGGAGCAAGGGATGCAAAGGGAAAAGAACAGGGTAATGGATTCAACTTGTTACATGGCACATGCAGGTATCATGCTGAGACATCCCTGAGTTAGAGGTGTAAATGCTTTGTACTGCAGCTTTTAGTCACTGTTTCAGGTGTGAGGTTTGGAAGTGTGCCAGAGCCATCTCTCCAGAGCAAAGCTGACAGTGCCGGGAACAAGCACAACTACTTAGAGCCTGTGGAGCTGCATGGCCAGTGTTTCAGGCCAGCTCAATTCACTGGGGTACAGATGGCACTGGAATTTTGACTTGGTTTTACTCCTGGCCCTGATGAGCCAGGTGAGGTATGTGGTACTTTGCTCCTGGGGCTACTTAACTAGTTCTAGCTAAGGAAAAAACAAACAAACAAACAAAAAAAACCACACACACAAAAAACCAACCAAACAAACAAAAAACAACAACAACAACAAAAACCACCAAACACAACAGTTGTGACTGATGGCAGGATTTGCTTCAGGCAGATTCTGGACACAGAGAGAGCCCAGAGTGACTCCCTCTGGCTGGGGCAATACTTGAACACTTTTCTCAGGAGGTCTCCCATCCACATATAAACTTGTCCTGACCGTAGGGATTGGCACCACATGCCTTAACATTGTACTACAGACATGCCACTTGAATGGATTGCTGCATCACTTCTTGTTTCAAGCCTTCTCATTTGGAAAAACCACAAAGAAACAAAAACTCTCCTAGGAACGCAGTGGGCATAAGATCCAGAGCAGACCTGGGACGGGGCCAAACAGGTTGGGCTCCACAGGCCTGCTTCAGAGGTATTAGGCCAGAGCATGTACACACAGACCTGGCCCTGGGCTTGCTGCTTCTGTGGTTCATGGGAGCTCAACAGGTAGAGTGGCTTTTTTCAATGAAGCAGTTTTTTTTTTTTTTCAGTGGGTGAGAGTTACCCCCTCTTGAATCTTGCAGCATGACAATATTTGACAAGTCTTTCTGGAACAAACACTCCTTTTAAAAAAGAAACAGTATCCTGTGCTTTTGCTCATATGGAGATGCAAACTGAGAGAGATGTTCTTGCTTGTATTTCTCTATAGGAAACCATTAGGTCCTAAAATTACCTGCTGTGTTGTTGGCCACCATGCAGTTCTGCAACCATTAAATGATTAGATGTGACTGTGAGGAAAAAATATTTGTTCAGGACCATCTTGCTCTGCCTCTTCTGTATGTGCTATGATTTGTAGTGACTCATGAGGGAGTAATGGTCTTTGATCTAGCGTCGTTAGATTTGAATTGACCATGTTGACATGAAGCAATCTTTGTTGTGAAGCAGCTTCCTTCACTCACTGTTGTGGTCAATTATTTCATGACAATGGCAACTCTGCCAGGTATTTTTGCTTCATTGAGCAATTATGTTGTTATGGAAACTGGTATTCTATAAGTTATCTGACGAGAGGCCTGATTTACTTCTTGGGAACACAAAGTTTGAAAGCAAAAAGTACAGGATTCTTTTTTTTTTTAATTAGTTACGCATTGATTTGTGTAATTATTTTAATCTTTAGGGCCCATTAACTACTCAGTGTAAATGGCAGCACCTTAGCATCTGTGCAAGATCTGTCCTGTTGTTGTCCCTCATTAGAGAAAGTGAGACCAGTGGATGTGCACAGTATGGATGAGCTTGTTCCTGTGCCTGTTTAGGAAGCTGCTGTGCCAGAAGGGGAGAATGTTCCTGTGTGCCATCTGCAGGGCTCTTGAGCTCTTCAAAACTTGCCCTGGCTGTGCTGTGGCTGATGCTGCAAGTGGCTGCAGTTGGAGTGATGTGTCCTTTTGCCTTTGCTATTGAGACTGCTAGGAGCCTGCAGACTGCGAGAGGTTGATAACCTTGCTCAGGAGGTTCCTGAGAGGATTGAATCTCCTGTTCAACCACACAAACTTTTCAGACAGGCTGTGTTTGCAAAAATTTCCTTCCACCTACTGCTAGTTTCTTACCCTAGGATAAAGGAATGGACAACCTTGAGGGACTTTGGTTTGGGGTATTATGACTAAACAAACCTGCCCTTTGAGATTGTGCTAAAGGATCACTTTACTAATCCAAAGTATGGATCTTCTTGGGGCATGAACCCTCACACCATGAGGAGGCAGGACAATCCTGCCTGGATGGAGGCATCTGGATATGGGCAGCACAGAAGCTTTCAGAATGAGCTTTTGTAGCACCCATTACCTATGAGAGGAGCAGCCTTTCATCTCTGAGCTGATTCCTCAGTGCTTTTCAGCAGCATGAACTATGATAAACATGTGGGTGGAAAACCACTGAACAGGAGTAATTAAGTGGCTCCTGGTTAGCTGAAGCTCATTCTACATGGTTGAGGGACCCTGCATTAGTGTGAGTCAGTCAGTGCTTTTCCCCAGGATCTTTCTGCTTTTTCATGTTTCCAAACTTGGTTTCTTTACTTCTCTTTCTTTAGACAGTTCTGTTTTTAAAAAGAGCGTTGTTACCTTGTACATGTTCATCTTAAGCCTGAAGGTAAATGCCTGATCTTTTGGCATCAGGACAAAGAGGCCAGGCAGGGGTTAGGGAGGGTGAGATTTGTGTGTGTGTTCCAGTAATAGGATCATACTTGGAAACATTCTTGTTTCTCATCTTGTCCATATCAGTCCAAGCTGGAAAAGTCACATATTGCTTCTTATTACTAGACCGCATGATAGTATGTGCTAAGTACTCACCAGAATAAAGTGCTATGGATTGAAATGGGTGTTCAGGAAGAAACAAGCACAGAAAAAGGGAATTTAAAAAGTAATTTCTTATTGTATATGTTTGAGAATTCCAAGTGGCTTTTATTCAAAACTCCCATTTCTCCTGAAATAGTTTTCAGAAAGTGAAGCAGTGTCTGACTAGCACAGGATAGGAGCTGCGCAGGGATGTTAACCTTCCTGGGAGAAGTGGCTCTGTGGGGCTGTCTGGAGCAGGAAAACCTCTGGAAATCCATCTCTCCTCTACCAGCCTGGGCATGGAGAACACTGCAAGTGCTCGGAAATAGCAGATAGCCAGCCGATAATTTGTTTCCTTGTCTGATCGGTGGGGGTTACTTTGAGGGTTGCCATCAGTCTTGTCATAAAAATACTCATTTCTGAATCTCTCCAGAAAAAATAAAAATCCTGTATTTTCTCATTCTAGCTGCTGGTTTCTAAATCCCCTTCACTTTGTCAGCACCCTTCTGCCTCATGGAATGGAGAGCTGCCAGACTGGTGTATCATCTCCCTGGGGCCTGCTGCCCACATACCAGGTAGCACATTCAAATTCAAAATAGCAGGCTTTGTGAGAGTGCAGGTCAGCTTTGGCTGGCAGTGAGAGATTATTATTTTTTTTTTTTTTTACAAATATGGTTGCATATTGCTGTATGAGAATATTTCACAATGAAATAAAACTTGGTAGGAGTAATTTCCATTTTAAGCTCATATTTATGTATAAGAGATTTCAAGAGAAAAAGAATTGCCAAATAATAGCTAAGGCATACTGTTGAATTATGGGTATTGCTTTCTGTTGTTTAATTACTTGCAGACTGCACTATCATTCTGGAAAGGCAACTGCAGGACCTCCTATATTACTGTTCAGCTCCCCTGCATCTGGCAAGTGTCATTCTTTGGGATTAAAAAGTAAATTATTTTCCATCGTTTCTAGTGCTTAAAAATAATGCATCTTTTCTCCTCATCTGGGGACTTCCATCACTAACAGGAGCATAACTTTAAAAGCTTTTTTAACTGTCTGCTGGTGTAAGAACTCTGTATAGCACTGTTAAGCCAAAAGACACTTCTTTATAGCAATATTAAAGGTGAATTTATAGGTATGTTTTAGAATCTGCTCCTCTAAAATTCTTTGTGCTCTAGCAGTCAGGGGAGCAGAACTCAGCACCTGGGGCCAGCAGGATTGAAGTCACCCTGGCCTGTATAGGCCAGGCAGTCATACCACCACCACGCATTGGATAAGCAAATGAACCTGGCATAAAGCAGATTAATGAAGTTTGCAGGTAAAGAGATTTATAGTTTATCTTTACATGTTAATCTTAAAAGGAATTACTGATCAGAAATTCTGACCTTTGACAGCACTACCTGCTAATCAGGAACTTTAGGTAGCACAGGTGCAAGAAACACTCTCAGTAGCCTTAAGGACAGGCACTTCAGGGGATCACCTGTGTTCAGATGGGAAAAACAAAGTACAAACTGGAGTAAAAAAAAATAATTTTCTGGGTAGTCCAAATAATTAACTGTAATGCAAAAGCTAAAGTATATAAAGGAGAAATAAAGTATTTAAAGACCCTCATCTTTTACATTGAGGGGAGCTCCTGCATGTGTGGTTGTCATAGTTCCTTTTCAGATGGGGGGCCTGAGCAAGAGTGTACATGCAGAAAGGTGGAGAATACTGAAACAACCTGAGAGCTGGTCTGGTGGCTCATTTCCTCATGAAAAGTCCACACTCTGGTCTGTCTGTCTGTCTGCAGCTAACTGTGTGCGGGCACGGCTTTAACAGCTTGGCACAATTTGACTTGCAAGAAGTTGTTCATGTGAGAGTGAAAATAATGTCAGCTTCTTACTGCAGTTGTTGAAATCCTACCACAAGGAGTGGGTGAGTAAACTCTGTGCTTAGCTTGGGGTGTTCGTTTGGGGAGGTCAGTGATGAAAAAGATAGGATAGAAATGTTAATACTGAAACAAACCATGTGAATATCCCTGAATGTTACACATATCATCTGCTCTTGCAGAGGGAGCAAAACCAGACTTCCAAAGACTAGATACCATCTCTTCCCATACCTCCTGCTTTCCAAGGAGTCCAAAGCTCTTCACTGAAACTAAAATGAAGCAAGGCTTGGGGAAACACTGTGCTGTAATTGCTGTTTCCATTTCACAGAGGGATGAAGGCAATCACTAGCCCACAGTCCCAAATGCTAGGTCATGCACAACTCTCACGCTAAAGTTGTGACTTACAGTCTTAACCCTTAGATCACGATTTCTCTTCAAGAGTCAAATCGCAGAGGAAAACAGCAGGGACCCTGATAGTGTCTTCCTGCGATGACTGTACTTCTTTGATTCTTGAGACAGACTCCTGAGGACCAAGGAAGGAAATACTACAGCACAGCTGAAGTCACAGATGTGTTATGGTGATGGTATTAAAAGAACTGAATAGAACATGAGTGTGAGAGAGAAGGTTGCAGCTCCACAGAGCTTGAGATCAAAACATAAGACACATGGCAAACATGAAAGGGATTAGACTTAGATACAACGAAGGAGAAGAGGAGAGAATGAAACCATATTACAGTAATTTACTGGTCAGTTTTTAAGTTGTGAGATAAATCATGCTTGTAATTTAAAAAAAGAGTATTTCTTTATTCCTGCTGGGAAGACCTAGTTCACACTAGCTGTAAATGTGTTAGGACAGAAAAATCAAAGTGTTAAACTGCTGCGAGGCACTCTCATCATATCATAATGCCTTTTGAAGCAGTAATTCAATGATTGATCAGAGGAGATCTAATTAACTAACTACATTATGTGAAAAAAGCAACACCATGAAGAAAGCTGTGATACTCTGGGCTGATGAATCTCTGCTCTGTTGCATGGGTGTGGGTGTTCTGTGGAAAAGGCAAACCTTCATTCAATATATGACCTAAAAATAAACCTGAAGATTAAAAGTTTCCTTTGTCTTTCTGCCCTACCTTTCCCATATTATTGCTTTGCATACTCCTAGACATTTTAGGAAGTGCATAGACCATATTTGTCGCTAATATATTCAGCATTTAGTTAACTGCTTAAATCTAATATTCACCCACACATGAGCTATATGGGGGTGAAATTCAGATATGAATGTTACCTTAATAGAGTATCTTCCATTCTTGTTTCTGATTTTTAAATTTTGCCTGTCTGCAGAGGCTGGGTGAGCTCAGTCTTAGTGCAAATGACATTTATGAACATGCGGTGCATCCTCGGTCTGAGTTCACAGCCCGCTTCTCCCATGGGATGTGTGATGGCAGCATGACCTGCAACATGGCAAATGAGGGATGTGACAAACATGAAGCCAAATATTATTCATTGGAATTGATGAATGCTTTGACGTGCTGTTGTAAAAGGATCATGGACATGTTTTGCTTATTTGACATCCCTTCAACTTACATGCCAAGACTATGATAAAAATCTACAGCAGTTCAGGTTCTCCATCAGAGCCCAGTTTAGCTGATTGTGCTTTCGTACCTGTGGTGCTTTGGACTGTGGTTTACCTCTCCCATGGAGATTGGGTCATTTTATAAAGCTTCCAGCCCTTTGCCTGACAAGGTCTTCTGAACCAGACGAAATCAGCCTTGTTGGGCAGGAGGAGAAGAGGCTTCACAAGTCTTTTTACGTGCATTATTTCAGTGATGGGGGCTAGTCTGCATTCTCTCTCACATATTTGGGTATCTGGTTTCTTCCAGGAACATTTTACTATTAAAAGAAAATCTTAGTTTAATGCAAATTTAGCCTACATTAATCATCCTCTTTTATGTTTTTAAGTGTCAGATGTAGCCTTATATGAAGAATTTCATTCATTTTTATATTTTCCCTCACTGCTTTGATTCAAGGACGTTGCAGAGATTATAAAACATTTCCAAAATTTTACATTTAAATGAAGAAATCTCAGCCTTGGCTAAAAGGGAGGGAAGCAACTACTTCCCAAAGCATTCTTTGAACAATCCTACCCTAAGAGGCTGTATGACTTGCCTGTGCCACACAGTCTGCCCAGAGCTTTCCCTTGCTGGCTCCTTGCTAATTCCTTGGGTCAGTTTTGTGCTACTCAGTGTCAGCAATAGGTAAGATACATGTTGTGTCAGTTTTACTCCATTTTTTATTTCAAAAGAGTAACCTATGTACAAATAACACAAGTACATGTAGGTTTATCCTTGAAGTATGTTTGTTTGGTGTTTCAGAAGTTACTCTGTGAGGAAAAGAAGATGTTTCCATATAAACTTAGAAGTCTGCAGAGCTCATGAAATACAGTATCACTCTTTTGAGCATACCAACATCCCTCTCTTGTGCAAAAACCTCCCTCGAAACTTGCTGTGGGCATGGATGGTAAGAGCAGGCTCCTGTGGTTTTTATTGCCTCTGCACACACGTCACCCTTGGTTGCTTTCCTTTTTCTCCTGATGACTTACCCGCTCAATAAGGTGTAACATAACCAACCTGAAGTGCTATAGCCATCAGAAATTGGAAAATCATTCAGTGGCACAGTAGGTAAATTAGCCTAAAAGGCTACCCCTGGGTGATGGGGGAAAGGCTTGTGGGTGAAAAAGGTTATTTATGGGAATCGTTTGCTCAGGTGCTATAAAATTAGGTCTTGAGGTTGGCAAGAGAATATGTAGTAGCAGAATCTTTGGAAAAGTGTCCGTCTCTGAGCTTCAAATAATGCTTTGTTTAAAAAGCTGAAGTTTTATTTCAGAAAACTAAACCAGGGGTTCCCCTGTCCTAGCATATGCTCTGGAAATGGTTTTCCAGCCGTTTGTGTTTGGCTTATTGGTATGCTGCTAATCACCTTCCCCTGGCTTTCTGCTGCCGTTAGCTGTATGCATCAGTTGTTAGTCAGTTATACTCTTTCTGTATCTCGGTCCTTTGGAGAGAAACAGTCATTTGAAATGGCTGGACAATGCTGGCTAGGTAATCGTGTTTATAAAACAGAAACATTGTGTTCCTCTTTATTTACAATTATTGTAAGTGGAAATGGCTCTATTGTTTGTGTTCCTCTGAAATTAGGTATCGCTCTTTCAGACACCTGAAGACCCATTATCAATGCCACAATTTTGTGTTGCTTTATCTGTATGAGAGAAAAGGTCCGTTACTGGCCTATCTCAGAAATAGCATCGCATCAGCTGGAAACTGGTTTAGAATTCTTTTAATTCAGCAGATCGTTAAAATATATACGGCACTTCCAGGGAAAATCAAACCACGTGGAAACAATAAAGACTGGCAGTTATGTCTGATAAACAATAATAATCTGGTGTCTAGGGAAAAAATGAGGATGTGGTTTTCTTCTGAAGCCTATCAACATTTAACAAAACCGTGTTTTGCATTTTTAACCAGTTGAAAAATTACCAATAGCTGTTGTTTTCTTTTTATTTATTTATTTATTTATTTATTGGTAGGGGGGAAAGGGGACAGGAAAGACAGACAACTGTAAGGACTTGCAGCAGATTCTGATTCTTTATTTTGTTTGACCTGATTTAACAAGCTTCTTCTGTTGAAATATCATAGTCTATGTTGGGAATTATGTCAGGAAGCACAATATGTGCAGTGTGGGTGAGTGAGCTTGCATAAACTGTCAATGAGGATCAATTATAGGAATTATTGAATTACACATTAGATAAGTAGCAGATGACTTCTTTTTGCATGCAAGTGTGGTGTTAGCTATTTTTGTCTAAATTAAAATATAGCCATACAGGCAGGGAAAATTTGTCACTAAGCGTCACAAGCTGCCTGGGTTTATTGATTATTTTTTCCTTTTTGATTGAAGTCCTGCAGTCTCGTGGTTTTGGCGTGAAGCACCATGCAGATGATGCGAGAGAGCATCAATCTACTAACAACAGTGCAATTAATATGCAGCTTGGGCAGAAATGGCTACTTACAAGACTTTAGAGATGAAAAGAAAAATGTTATTTAGCAGTTGCCATTTTCTGATGTGTTTAGTACTCCTGATTCAGGCTGTGGGAGTTGTGTGTCCTCCTGCTCATACCACAGCTGGGCAGTTGACAACAGGGTGGTGAGGCAGGCTCAGTTCCTGCATTTTTACAATTTATAAATATCCTGTGTCAGCCTGTTTGTCGGGTATTTTTGAATGTCTAGATGGTATTTTTGCCCCAAGAAGCTACCTAGA